GTGCACTTACAGTGTTCTAATGAGGAAAGTTGTGGTGTTTGCATCTCTTTAGAAGTAACTAACCCTTGAGAAGTATCTTACTAAAAATAGAATTTCCTATTGCAGATGATATCTAAAATTTGACTTGCATCTTAGTGCAGACTTCTGGGAAAATCAGTGAGCCAATCACACAAGCAGAAATGAAGGCCTCCAGGTTGCCATATTGCATTGAAGTTTACAGAAAATTACAACACTGCAGACTGAAAATGAGTGGTAATTTTTAATAGCATTAGAACTAAACTATAGGCAAAACTTTTTATACAATTTTGGATAGAGTAAGGGAGGGTTATAACCCTTGTCAGGTTTTTCTTTTTGCCATCTGTGTCCCATTGGGGAGATTTACCTTTATTTCCTGCAGCATACCCAAAACAGGAAGTCAGAGGAAACCCCTACAAATTAAGGAAATCCATTGGGACCCCCAGATCACCAGAACTAATGGAAGATTTTTCCTATATTAATTTTCTGGGGACAACCCAAATTTAGGATATTTTTTCACTTTCACTTTCAATGATAATGATAAACAGGAAAAATAGAGAGGGTGAGCCTCCCTAACAGGGGCACAGACAGCAATAAAAAAGCTGACAGGTATTCTAATCCCTCTCTACTCTATCCAAAAAAAAAGAAAAGAAAATTTTGCCGTAAGTTGTTATATTTTAATTACAATATGGCATGGAGTGGAGTTTCCCTTTAAAGTTTGTTAAGAAACAAAAGTAGAAATTGAGCATGACCAGTCATTAAATTGCATGAAAATGAATAACAGGAACATTTTGGCTAACGAATGTCAAATAAATTGCTGAAAGACTGACTATGGTACTGCCAACAGCATTTTATTAGCAATTTGAAACTGCTAAATAGTCTGGTCACAGGATGGAAAATGACTGAGAAATACAGTAAAGAAAATAACAGCTATTACTTCATATTCAATATGTACAATTATTATAAATGTTTTAGAGGCGAGGTAACCTGTAGGAGAATCCTACCACCCTTCCCCAATGGTATTTCATGTGGTTGTAAAGCCAAAATGTATTAAAATAAAAATGAGGGTATACTTATCAGCTCTGTGCAATGCTATTGCACAGAGCAGTTCTTTACCCTCTCTTCTGGAGTCCCCCTCCAGTGCTGTCCACTTCTACTTCCTTCATGTGCCCCCATAGCAAGCTATGTGCTATAGAAGCACACATGCGGGCATGCTTTCTGTTCTGATCATGTGTACCTGGCACCCGAATAGCTGTGCATGTAGAAGTCATTTTGTTCACGTCACAAGTCTTCCATGCCATTTTGTGATAAGAAGGCATAGCTACAATGACTTTTCCCCCATCCTTCCTTCAGTTTATGCAAATACACAACTATAAACTAATGCCAGACTCCTGTTATCTGTCTGTTAACAGGACTAGCATAATTTAACCCCCAATACACATCTCAGAGCAAATAAAAGTGTCTGATTTAGCTGCTTCAGTAACTAAAAGAATTAACAGACATTCGATTATAAATACCTTAATTGGAACATACATATCTGTTTTTCTCAGTAGAAGCTATCATCATCCCACTATATTTCAAAATTTCTGAAATTATGACCGTATAGCCAGAATAAAGTCATATTCAACTTCATCAGGTATTGGGTAGCATTTTTACCAAACATCTATGCTAGGAGGTACCAGAGTGGATTAGGCCTCCACACCCCTCCTAGAAGAAATAGATATCCGAGACCGGTCATATCTATATCCATTTTGAAGCTAATTTTATGCTGGCTAATATAATGCAGGATAGCTGACTGTACCCTGTAGATATTTAGAGATATGAATACTTATAGAAAAGTGTATCTGGGACTTGATCATAAAAGTGGTGACATCCCAGCAACCACCCCTCAGACCCTTCATTGGTCAGATGGTCTCTGTGAACACCCCTTTGATACGACAAAAAAAAGGGGAATGCTCTTGTTTTAACATCAAACCAAGGAGCACCTAACAGGACTTGTGAAAGCCACTTTACCGTTTTTGCCTATGCACTGGTCTTTGCTGAAACCAGGATTTGTAAGTATTCTTCATTTTCAACTCCTTTTTATTTCTCTGTTGCTTTATTGTTTCCTTGTAACACCCTTTTTCTGGAAATATTTTATTAGCACTATTTTGACCTTTTCATTATTAAACCCTATTTTGAAAAATGTTGAAATTCTCTCTAAGGTTTTTAATGCAAACTAAAAGATTCACTGTCTCTTGAAGTGTGCTACTGTAGTATAAATCTCTAAACATATCTGTCTGTGGTGACAGTGCATTTTACAGACATTTATTCTAAAATCATATTTATTATTGCAAATACTGTTTCCTCCTTCTCAGTAAAAAAAGGTGGTGGTGGCAGTTTAAAGAGATAATTGCTTAATTAACTAAACCCAATTTACAATCGCTCTTTAGTGTGTTTGCTCCAAGATTGTGGTCCTGCAAGCTGGAAAATCTTTGTGCAATGTGGGGCTGAGAGCGCTATTGTTACATAAATGACAGCGCGGTGTGAGACAGACCGGTCTTTTGTCACAAGTCGGTGAAGATGGCAGTGGTTGGACACCCACATTTGTCACACTCCTGAGCCAGCCTATGTACAGTTGCAAGAAAAAGTATGTGAACCCCTTGGGATTACATGGAGTTTTGCATGAATTGGGCATAAAATGTGCTCTGAACGGCATCTAAGTCACAACAATAGAAGAACACAGTCTGCTGAACATAATACTACACAAACATTGGATGTTGCCATGGTTTAATTGCACATAACATGTAAACATTCACAGTGCAGGGAGGAAAAAGTATGTGAAGCCCTAGCTTAATGACTTCTCCCAGAGCTAATTGGAGCCAGGAGTGAGCCAACTTTGACTCCAATCAGTGTGATGATATTGGATGTGTTGCTGACAGCTGTCCTGCCCTTAAAAAACACACACCTGTTTTGGGTTTACTGGTTTCAAGAAGCACTGTTGATGTGAACCATGCCTCGCAGAAAAGAGCTATCAGAAGACCTACGATCAAGAATTGCTGACTTGCATGAAGCTGGAAAGGGTTACAAAAGTATCTCCTTGAGCCTTGATGTTCATGTGTCCATGGTAAGACAGACTGTCTACAAATGGAGAAAGTTTAGCACTGTTGCTACTCTCCCTAGGCGTGGTCGTCCTGTAAAAATGACTGCAAGAGCACAGCGCAGAATGTTGCATGAGGTAAAGAAGAATCCCAGAGTGTCAGCTAAAGACCTACAGAAATCTCTGGCACATGCTAACATTTTTGTTGACACATCTACAATAAGGAAAACATGAAACAGAATGGAGTACATGGGAGGACACCACGGAGGAAGCCATTGCTGTCCAAAAAGAAGATTGCAGCACGTTTGAAGTTTGCAAAAGAGCACCTGGATGTTCCACAGCACTACTGGCAGAATATACTGTGGACAGATGAAACCAAGATTGAGTTGTTTGGGAAGAACACACAACACTATGTGTGGAGAAAAAAAGGCCCAGCACACCAACATCAAAACCTCATCCCCACTGTGAAACATGGCGGAGGGAGCATCATGGTTTGGGGCTGCTTTGCTGCCTCAGGGCCTGGATGGATTGTTGTCATTGATGGGAAAATGAATTCCAGAGTTTATCAAGACATTTTGCAGGAAAACGTACGACCATCTGTCCGCCAACTGAAGCTCTGCAGAGGATGGGTGAGGCAACAGGACAATGACCCAAAGCATACAAGTAATTCAACAAAACAATGGCTGCAACAGCACAGAATACGCCTTCTGGAGTGGCCCAGTCAGAGTCCTGACCTCAACCGATTGAAATGCTGTGGCATGACCTTAAGAGAGCGATTCACACCAGACATCCCAAGAATATTGCTACACTGAAACAGTTTTGTTAAAAGGAGTGGTCCAAAATGACTCCAGATCGCTGTGCAGGTCTGATCTGCAACTACAGGAAACGTTTTGGTTGAGGTTATTGCTGCCAAAGGAGGGTCAACCAGTTATTAAGTCCAAAGGTTCACATACTTTTTCCTCCCTGCACTGTGAATGTTTACATGTTATGTGCAATTAAACCATGGCAACATCTAATGTTTGTGTAATATTATGTTCAGCAGACAGTGTTCTTCTATTGTTGTGACTTAGATGACGTTCAGAGCACATTTTATGCCCAATTCATGCAAAACTCCACGTAATCCCAAGGGGTTCACATACTTTTTCTTGCAACTGTACATCTATAGACACATATAGGGTGGCTCAGCCACATCCCCTCTTTATAGGATTTGACTGACAGCAGCAGGAGCCAATGGCTCCCATTGCTCTCAGAGTGCCTTGTGAAAGGAGGGAGTAAAAAGAGAAGAGATGTAGCTGGGCACAGTGTTGGATCGATAGAGGACTTAGGTAAGTGTTTGGGGGCATTTACCTTAATGTATTCCTTCATTAAAAAAAATTTTTTACGTTTAGAACCACTTTAAGCTGATGTTAACTGGTCACTCGTTCCCAGGAATTTAAGACCCCAATGTAGGAAGTCACTGACCATATGGAGTTTGCATGTTCTCCCTGTGCCTGCGTGGGTTTCTTCCAGGTACTCCGGTTCCCTCCCACACTCCAATGACATGCTGGTAGGTGAATTGGATCCTGTCTAAATTGGCCCTAGTATGTGTATGTATGAATGTGAGTTAGGGACCTTAGATTGTACGCCCCTTGAGGGTTAGGGACTGAAGTGAATGTACTATATATATATATATATATATATATAATATATATATATATATATATATATATATATATATATAAATAAAGCGCTGCGCCGTAAAATTGAAGGCGTTATATATAAGTACCTGAAATAAATAAAATAAATTAAAATATAAAGGATGGCATTATGGATCAGTAATAACTTCAATTCTTGCCCTTCTGTGATAAGAACCTAAACACTAATGTAAAAATGTAGTATACAGTTTATAAATACATATGCCTCTTACCACAAGACTGATGTTATTATGTCTCAGGTTAAGTTCTGTCAGCAAGTCTAGACCGTTCAAGTTTTCCACTTCTGTTATCTGATTCCGAGCAAGGTTTAATACTCTTAACTCTCCCAGGTGGCCAATATTCTCAATTTTAGATATCTGTAAAGAAACAGAATATCATATAAATTAAATCAACTAAAAGAGACATAACACATCAATATTGCCATCTGCTGTCAAATCTGTGGTCTTGATTTATGAAACAGTAGAAGTAGTAGCGTACAATAAGATAAACTAGACAGTAACAGATCACTCAGCTAGACTGGGCAAATCAAAATTTTAAAGGGTCAATGTATCTAAAACTGCTATTTTAGTTAGGGGTTATTATTTCTTCTTAAATTAAAACCGCACCTTAACCATCACTTGGAAATCCAGAGGACAGGTCTACTTGTTTAGATACCAAACCCTCCCCATGGCCTCTGCAGCAGCTAATGTAGTGTAAGTTCATATCTAAAATTGTTTAAAAAACTTGCTCATGGCAGCACAGCCTATCCAGAGCAACCACAACCTGAAAGCCATTTAAAAGCTACACCCAGTGCATGTGCCATAAAGAATAATGGCGGTCTGTAAATGCATGAAAAAAGGTGTGGCTGTAGATTTCCATCATTCTCCACCATGGTGCATTCACTGGTAGCATCTAAATTTGGCACAGCTAGAGTTTAGGTTGTGATGGATCTGGGCACACTGATCGAATCATAAGCAGGCATTTCAAACCATTAGAGCTTCAGACTTGGTATACACTTACTGTTATATAGGCCAGGGGAGGGCATTGAGGAGCTTAATATCTAAAGTGCTCTTGTCCATTAAGCCAGCCTTATACGTATGTGCAGAAATTCTGAAATTTAAATAGTTTCCTCGCTGAGTGTGACTGTCTGAGGTCTGTTCATATTTCTCTGATAGGAAAGGCATTTGCAATATATGCCACTGTTTACATCCCAACCAGGGATGCAGAAGTGGAGGCCATGAATCCCTAGAAGCCTGAGTGAAATCATGTGCTTGCCCTCTTAATTCCAAAACTGTCAAAAATGTTTATGTCGTATCTTGACTGCAATTTTACATTGCTTCCATATACTGTAATTGTTAACATACATAGATAACAATGCAGAAGACAGTATGGAAGCTGCATGACATGTAGGGACAGGTTATACCTTTGCTCATAAGCATCTTTGAGGCAGCTCAAGTCAGAAAAATAAAATTGAGCACATAAAGGGAATAGCAGTATGTTAGCTGTTTGGAGTGCTGCCTATTATTTATTTATAGAATAATTACATTGCCAAACTGCTGTATTTACAAATCTGGCTTAATCAATCAACGACCTGAGGTCTTTTTTTTTAAGCCAAAAGGGGGATTTTGCATTGAAATTCTACATCACAACCACAAGCCAAACGTTTAGCTCGTCGTGTCAAACCTGACACTATTAAAATTGCCACACTGCAAAGCTAAACATCACAGCTGGGGCATATGTACTCACCAAAGCAGCTGCCATGTTCATTTGGAGATTGGCAGTTGAAAAGGGTTAGAACTTGAATAAATTGCCTGTTTTGCTGCCCCTCTACTGCCTGTGTGAACCTAGCCAGGCTGTCAGAATATAAGTCAGAATATCTACTAAAGCAGTGCTCTCCAAACTGCGGCCTGCAGGACAAAAGCAGCCTTTTCCAAGCCTTTATCTGGCCCCTGGGGCGTTTTTATTCTCACAGATACAAGGCTCTAATCCTCCCACTGACACAAATGATGAGGCACCACACCTTCTACCGACACCAACAGTGGGGCATAGTACCTCCTAATGACACCAACAACGGGCACTATTCCTACCACTAACACCAACATTGGGGCACTATTCTTCCCATTGACACCAATGATGATGCACTATTCCGCCAAACAATACTAGCAATACCAGTGATGTATTTATGACTGACACCAACCAATTTTCTACTCTGACTGGCCAAAGTCCTTCTAAGGTCTGATGGATAGTAAATTGGCCCTTTGTTTAAAAAGTTTGGAGACCCCTATACTAAATAGTTAACTTGAAACTTGCTATTCATTTTATTTGCTACCTGAAAACATCCCTGTATCTGCTCCTGATGGCAAGTCTGTGGCTCTGACAAAAGTTAACAGAAGAAAAGGAAAAAAAAAAACAACTTGTTTGTGTATCTTACCTTTAAGCAAGTCTTTAATGAAATGTAAAGATTGGGATTCTCCCCATGTATGCAACATAACATTCATCAGAGTATGTCTGGTACATAGTGGGCACCACATGAACATCTATGTAGTCAAAAACAGAGCCTGCAAATCCACTATTGTGCCAAGTTATTTTAGAAACAAATCATGGCACTAAAATCACACATGTATTTATAGAGCTACTTTTTATAGTAGCTCACTGACAATAAATTGAGTCTAGTAAGTAATAAATGCCATTTTAGCTTTCAGGTTGAATTATTCTGAAACCATGATGTCCTTGTAGATGCCAGTCTATGCCAAAACACAAAATTTACACCCAAGGAAAGACACTACTGATAAATGAAGAATGTAATTCTATGGTCACAGCATGTACATTCATTTTAAAACTTGCTTGAAAAATCTCCTTTCATGTGAGTTCTGCCTGTCTGCTGGTCATCTCTTTCCACAACTTCTTGGATTCCCTGCATGCTTTGCAGCTTCTCCTCTGTTGCTTACCTACAATTTCTAAGTACTACATATCCCATGGTACCTTGCTGTCTGCAAACAGTGATTCCTGCACTGACTCCGCCTTAAAGTAGCAATAAACCCTTTTTTTAATTTACAGTAATCACTTTCAAAGGAAACCTACAGAATGAAGTATTTTTTTCAAAATAGGTCTCTCAGTTTGTTGTCACAACAGCCAATTGCTTCTTAATGCCCTGGCTCGATGTTGCTTCCCTAGGCTTCTGGTTAGGAAGTGCAGATTGTAGACGTAACACAATGGTTATACGACTGTCCATGTTTGGAGTACATGGTCCCTCATTACCAATGTCATGCCCCATCCTAGGCTGAAGTGTGCACTGTAGATGTCAAATAATGGTGACATGACCACCCATGTCAAGACTACATGATCTTTTATCCCAAGTATCTTGATAACAAAGTGCATGCTTGCAGGCTGAAGCACACACGTAAAGGTGGCTACAGAAAGGCTCCAAGGGACAGTACAAAGTAGTATAGCTACCCTGAAGATGGAAACAGGGAAAAGAGAACTTCTAAGGCACAATATCCTAAATACAGGTGTAACATATAACATGTTCCAAAGGTGAACTTATCCTTAAATGTGATGGCCACTGGAAAGAATGCTCCTAAAATTAGTTGTCAGTGAGAAGAGACCCTCATTACACATAGCTAAAAATATACAGTTAGGTCCATATTTATTTTGACACAAGCACAAATTTAGTTTTTTCAGGTATTTACCAAAACATATTCAAGCTATAGTTACAGTATATATAATGGATATGGGTTGAAAGTGCACACTCTCACATCCAAATTGGAGGAAGGGTTTAGGAATTACAATTAAGAGTAGCCATCCCCCCTTTTCAAGGGACCAAAAGTAATTGGACAATTGAATATAATCATAAATAAAATGTTCATTTTTAATATTTTGCTGATAATCCTTTACTGGCAATGACTGCCTGAAGTCTGGAACCCATTGACATTACCAAAGACTGGGTTTCCTCCTTTCTGATGCTTTGCCAGGTTCTAACTGAAGCTGTCTTCGGTTGTTCTTTGTTTGTGGGTCTTTCTGCCTTTAGTTTTGCCTTCAGCAAGTGAAATGCGTATATCTGTAAACACCGCAGAATTCATCTGGCTGTTTCTGTCTTCTGTCACATCATGAATAAACACCCATGACCCAGTGCCACTGGAAGCCATGCATGCCCATGCCATCCCACTGCCTCCACCATGTTTTCCAGATGATGTTGTGTACTTTGGATCATGAGCCTTTCCAAGCCTTCCTCACACTTATTTTTTCCCGTCATTTTGGCACAGAATAATCTGAGTTTCATCTGTCCAAAGAATGCTTTTCCAAAACTGGTCTGGCTTTTTCAATGTTTTTTGGCAAAGTCTACTCTGGCTTTTCTATTCTTCAGGCTTATAAATGGTTTGCATTGTGGTGAACCCTCTGTATTTGCTCTCGTGAAGTCTTCTCTTGATTGTAGACTTTGATAATGAGACGCTCACCTCCTGGAGAGTGTCCTTCCCTTGTCTGGATGTTGTGAATGGCTTTTCTTTACCATAGAGAGGATCCTGTAATCATCCACCACTGTTGTCTTTCATGGACGCCCATTTCTTTTTATTTACTGAGCTCACCAGTGCATTCTTCTTTCCTCAGAATGTACCAAGCTGTTGATTTGGCCACTCCTAATGTTGCTGCTATCTCTCTGATGGATTTGTTTTATTTTTGAAGCCTTACAATGGCCTGTTTCACTTGCATGGACAGCTCAGTTGAATGCATGATGTAGGTTTACAGCAATAAATTCCAAATGTAAATAACACACTTAGAATCAACTCCAGACCTTTTACCTGCTTAACTGATGAAGAAATAACGAAGGAGCAGCCCACACCTGGCCATGAAACAGCTTTTGATTCAACTGTCCAATTACTTTTGTTCCCTTGAAAAAGGGGGGCCGCTACTCCTAAGAGCTGTAATTTCTATACCCTTCCTCCAATTTAGATGCACATACCCTCAAATTAAACCTGAGAGTGTGCACTTTCAGCCCATATCCATTATATAACTATAGCTTGAATATGTTTTGGTAAATACCTGGAAAAAAACTAAAATTGTGCCTGTGTCCAAATATATCTGGACCTAACTGTAATTGTTTTCATTCATGGTTGCTTATCTGAAAGTCAGAAATTGCTCAAGGAACCCTTAACCTCTGGAAAACCCTAGTGTTCCACAGAATCCTGGTTGACAAAAGGCCCTTTTATAGCTTGCCTGTGAAGACTCCTTTTTATAATTTGTGTTCTGTTTCACTAATGTAACATCCCTGGTTATACTTGTTGCATTCAAGGTACAGCGTGTGTGTGTGTTATATGGCTACACAGTTTGCAGAGTTTATTGTTGCAAGGTTTTGTTCCCCTTTATTTGGGTCCCTGTAAGCAGAATGAGGATGCTTTGCACAGAACTCTAAAAATGTAAAGTTCTGCTCTTGCTGGTTGACAGATTTTCCTAGAAGATCTGATCTTGTGACTATAGAAGAAAGATCCTCTAACTCAGCATTCAGGAAGTAACAGGTGACTAGAAGGTGTAGGGAGTATGTAGAATCCATGTGTCTGATTTTAATAGAAAGAACTGCAAGAGGAGCTTAATTAAATCCTTAACTGACAAGACGTAGTCCTATATTTATCAAACATACCCTGCCTGTACACGGAGTTTCTTTACAAGTGAATTGGTTCTTTATAAATGATCCTTAAGAACAAGTGGTGCAGCAGCTTATCTGTTCCCCAATTCATTAATGGGTAAAGATATTAATAATAGTAGGAGAACACATTTAATTGTACCACTTTACATCAAGGTACACTCAGTAAGCCCATACTGAAAAGCACACACCTTAAAGATTGGCTGGGTCACAGTATACAGCAGGGTTTCTCAACTAGCGTTCCATGGAATCCGAAAGCTCCTCCAGAGGTTGCTGGAGGTTCCTTGAGCAATGAGCAATTTCTGCCTCTTAGATAAGTTCCCACTGATACTATTGATCTTTTTAGATATCTGTAAGGGGGTAATTCTTCTCAATAACCTCAAGTGTAAGGAACATTCTTCCCATGAACCATCACACTAATGTATTATGAGTTGTAGCTATAGTAATTTTTAGCAGGGGTTGCCTGAGACCAGAAAAGTTATTTTAAGGGTTCATCTGTGTTGAAAAGGTTGAGAAAGGCTGCTGTCTAGTGTACTGGAGCATGAAAGTCTAATTGTGTATAATGCCAGAATTGAGGTGTTGTCTTAGCAGATTCCTCAATTGCATCCCTGAATTTAGCAACATAAGCACATGGGGTATATACTCTAATACTGTCACCCAGGTTAATGGAAAAGATTTACTACACAATGCATTTTATGTGACACAGCCAACCTTGAAGGTGAGTGCTCTGCAATCTTGGCATATTGAATGCACATTGATCTAAGGGGGTATGTTTGGGTATGTGTTCTACTGTTTGACAGGTCTAACTGACCAGGATAGAATTGATCTCCTCAACCAAAGTAGAGTTGCACTGTGAGGCATTGTGGTTGATTTACTAATACTGGAGAGTGCAAAATCTGGTGCATCTGTGCATGGTAGCCAATCAACTGCTAACTTCAGCTTGCTCAATTAAGCTTTGACAATAAAACCTGAGAGCGGATTGGTTTCTATACAGAGCTGCACCAGATTTTGCACTCTCCAGTTTTAGTAAATTTCCCCCTGTGTATTCCACTACGTTAATTTACCTTCAGCCGGTACTTAAAACTCAGTAAGAGTTCACAGGCTCTAGAACTTAATAATACTTTGGTGTCACTCAGAGAAGATACATAATTCGTTTGTAGGTCACCAAGACTGTAATAGCATCTGGCAGACATTCTTGACAGCTGAAACAATACCTGATTTCCATGCAAGTCCAAGACATCCAGATTTTTAAGATTTTCCAAATTTGTTATTTTCTGGATTCTGAAAAATAAAGTTATCACATTAGTTATGAACAAAAAATGAAAGCACCTGAAAATGCTCATATACACAGACATTTGTGTGTGTTTCCACTGTCTGCTTTTCCTGTACACTGTAGAGTAGAGCTCATTACTCCACATCACAAATCAGGACTGGCAAATTCACAATGACAGGGGATGTCTGAAGGACACTACACAGTTTTCAGTAGCCAAACCTTTAACAAGCACGTAAGTTCATCAAGTTACCATAATGTGACAGCCAAGAGCGTGAGTTGTTCCTAAGCATTTACTGCAGTTTTCTGTCCATAAAAAGAGCTTTTAAAATATACATTTACATTGAAATTATTTTCTTACATTGAGACATTTATTTTACTTGGCTTTGTTAATGCTGATAATTGTACACATGTGCCGTTCCCTTTCAACTCCATCACACATAAGGTTGGACAGCAACCAAGACGAAGGAATTTATATGCCAGGAACAACTGAATGATCAAAAAGGCGCCTGATTCTCATAAACACACCATCAAATATTAGTAATTATACAGAATATAAAAAACCAATATATAAGCAGATTTATGAATCACTTTCAGGATGACAATTTCATCTTGGAAACTTCTGCTATGAATATTTTCAAGAAGTATAACATTGTATTAATAAATGGCTGTAGAAAACATTTAATTTTGACTGAATTAACAATTTACTATGAAATGGATTCTGTCATTTTAAACATTTAAAAGTTCTACCTGATAACAGTAACCTGTAGGTTCCTATTATTACCTTTACTAGTCAGAAAACCTTTGATTGAGCTTTGGTTTAATTTCACTTTGCTAAAAGAGGCCTTAAAGTGGTTGTAAACCCTTCCATATAGGAAGAAGGGTCAGCCGCACACCGGAGGATTGTTCTTTGGATTCAACCCTTCCTTATAGCCAGTGGAGTGACTCACTTCGGGTGATACAAGTAGATTAAAGAAATCCTCCTACAGAAGTTTTACCTGTCTGTTTGCAGCTTTGTCTTCTCTACAGCTGTTCAAAGTACATAATTTATACAGCTTGTCTAAGATTTTGGAAAACAGGTGTGGGGAGCTGACGTTTTACTCTGCAGAGCTCTGAGAGGAGAGCTCTGAGGGCTGATTGGAGGGAAGAGACACCCTCCTTCCCCTTCACACAGCATGCAGGAATAAAGCTAAGGCTGTCAATCACAGGCTGTGTGCTAGAATTCCCTCCCGTTACCTTTTTTTTACCTCTTTGTGTCAGGAAAACCTTCCAGAAGTCATTAATATAGATAGAGGAAGGAGGCAGCAGGCAGAAATGACACTTAGTGCTCAGGATTGAGACGCACTATAGAGAGATATGCCTTGTTCATATTATTTCATGTCTGAGGTTTACAACCTCTTTAACTTCTGAGTTTGGGCACAACCACCTGCCCACCCTATCCAGTTTAGCACAAGTGTCCTTAATGTATATGTCTACATAAAATATTCATGTAGTTTTGAATAGAGCTGAGAAGGTTTAATACCCCATCAGCGGTTTACTGCTAAACAGGGACTCCCTTAGAGATATTTCCCTTATTTACTGTCACAGTGACAATGTTTTCACCAGACAGGAATTGAGAGAAAAAACCACAACAGAGACAGCAATAAAAAGCTGACAGGGGGTCTAGCGTTCTCTCTAGTATCTTGTTGTGTTAATATATGTGAAATCACATATTAAATATATTGAATTTCAATTACTTCTAACCTGCTCCAATTAATGTGAACTGTCCTGAAGTTTGTAAACTTACTTTGTGTAGATCCCCACGCATATACTTTTCGAATCCCATGACACATATTCACTATACCCTGTGAATTGTATAGAGCCGCCTGCCTTCTGAACTGCGAGGAGGAGTTTCAGGAGGCACAATCAGTACAGAAAACACAGCTTGCAGGCAACAAGGTACCATGGGATATGTAGAACTTAGAAATCAAAATTAAACAGCAGAGGAGAGCTGCAAAGCATACAGGGAATTCAGAAAGTTATGGAAAGAGACAACCAGGAGACAGGCAGCGCTCACAACATAAAAGGAGAACCAACCCCTGGCAATCAGAGCTAACCCTAGCATCACGAGAGTCAAGACTCAAATTGTGTTCACAAATGATGACGTGTGTGATTTTAGAAGCATTCCCATGTCCATGAGCCTGTAAGTCGCACCAAACCCATACCACACTGCTCAGAAAATGTACAGGACTCTCTTTAAATTTGCACTGCGGGTGCACTGCATACTGTATATGTGAATGGTCACAATAGAACCCAAAGTTATTCTACATGTCATGCGAATCAATGCATTCTAAAATGCATCTGAATTTGCACATGTGTGAACTGGGGCTCATGCACATTCAATCCAGTTATCCATACCACTGGTTGACTTCTACCTTAGACTACTGAGAATCAAACTTACTCCTTACTCCTGACTACGCTTTTTCATTTTCAGTGAACTATTATTCTCTTTTGCAATCCCTCTCTTCTCTTTGACAAAGTTTGAAATTTCCAACTCTCAAATGGATAGGACGGGTTAACACCATAAAATTGACCATCCTCCCTAATTTCCTGTACTATTTCCAGACTTTTTCATCTGTGTGTAGACCTCTCTGTTCAACACAAGCCAGATTGTTAGACCGGCTTCTGTCAAAATATCCAGCTGGATAACCAGCATTTGATGAGCCACTGCAGCCAGCTGATCAGTATATTCTATCAGGGGAAGGAGTCCCTAATGTCAGAATACAAGAGCGCAAAGCACGGGAGAGATCCCTGCACCAACATCCCTTGTGTGGACGCATGAATCTGTGATTTTTTTTATTTAGTTTAGCCCACTGATTGAATGAAAAAAAAACTCCTGTGTGTACCCAGCTTAAACAGAGGATCATGGTTCAGTCCAAAAGATCTAATGAGCTTCAGAAATTTTGATGGCATGCTATAGTGTTTACTCTGTCATTGTCAGCTGAAGCACAGGTTTCTAGATATCTTAAAATACTTGACTACTGCAATCTACAGTAATTAGTACAGCAACTGCTATCCTAGTAGTAAATGCTCTAGTGCCATACTGCTGGTTACCTTTCAGGCTATCCGTTGCAAGAGTCATACCCAGACTTCTCCAGGCCAACCTTAGAAGATAAGGGGTTAAAGGGTTTAGTTAGGCAAAGTGTTTGGCTATCCTCAAATCTTCAAGACTTGCTTACAAGTGGATCAGTTGTGCATGGGCAGCATGAGCTGAATGCCCACAGACAATACACCTCCTCAGGCCTGGGATAAAATATTCTTCTCTTTCCCGTTAAAAAAGAAAAAAAGTGTTTTAAATAGAATTAATGATTATCCAAATGTACAAAATAATTCATGTGCCAACTCTGCAGCTAAATATTGGTCTCCCATACAATAAATAGTATATTAAAATACAGCCACACCTGTTCTTTCCAAGCATAAGAACACGCAAAGATTTTATAGAGGAAAATCCACTTATTTCTTCTATTTGGTTATCATAGAGATCTAGAAATATGAGACGCTGAAGACATGAAAGGTTTTGGACTCTTGTTATAAAGTTGTGTTGCAAATATAATAACCGTAACTGCTCCTCGCCTTCAATTATAGGGAAAGCTGACAGTCGTAACCTGAAAGAAAACAGTAATGTAATTGATGTAAAACATGTACAGCACATCTGTTATAAAAAAAAAACTTCATGTAAGGTACAATTAAACTTCTGAAGAATTTACAATCAAAGTAAACTTGAATCAGTATCTTCTACAGAAATAGAAGGGATTTCTATCTTTTTTTGAGACAGCCTGGCCAATACAGCTAGTATTTATCATCACTAGGGTTCAAATCTAGACTTTAGGTGTTAAGAAACACTAGGAACATGCTGCGGTTCCTGTGCGATTCACATTCCACTACTTATGGAAATGCACTGCAAACAAATCACATGGTACTTCTGTACCATGCGATCCAGTGCAGACAAATGCACTGCATTTGCGACCTGCATTTGTAGTGTTGTTACCTGTAGCCCTGACACCTGCTGCAGAACGCAAGGGCAGTGTGATTTGAATGCGGTGCAGGAAACCGGTACGGAATGTGGGTTTCCCTCACCATATTCTACTATAGTGTGAATGGACCCTTAAACCAAAGGGTAAAAGAGGCAAACAGTTTTGAGCTGCGGGAGAGTCATGCAGTCTCTCAATATTTATCATAGCTTGATATAGGAAATACATGTCTAATTTTCTGTTTTAATGGTGTTTACTGATTTTTGTTTAGAAAAGAACAGACTGGATGCTGCAAAAGGTGAAAGGATCATGGTGATATCAAATGAAATTATTGTGATTGAATCAAACTACTGTAAAAAATGATCAAAAATAATAAGATATCCTGGCCTAAGGAGGAGTTAGATGGCCCTTATTCATTTTGTCTGTTTTTGGCTTTTGGCATTTTTTTTCCACAGCCTGTAAACTCCCCAGCATGTTATCCTATGTATCCATGCACACATAGACTGTAATCAGTGTTTTTTTTAGCAGGGGTGTTTTTTTGGCTGGAAAAAGCCCCCAGAAACTATTGGGTTTCTAGAGGAGTTTTTTGGCTATAAAAATGCTCTAATGCTGAAAAACGCAGCAAAACACGGTAAACCATGGCAAACCGGCATTTTTTGACTTTTTTTGAGCAAAAAAAATGTTTTTTTTTCTGATAAAAAAATGTGACAAATATGGCAAAACATCGCTAAACGCTAAAAAAAAAAAAAAAAAAAACAGAAAAACTCACGTTTTTAATGTGACTTTACACACCTAATGTTACCAGTGTTATTAAAATGCCCAGTGTGCATGGAGCCTTAGCAGTTTTGACATTCTATATTGTCTAAATGACAATTTACCAATGTCTATTTACTGAAAAGGATGCTTTCCAACTATGTTTTTAGTTGACTTGATAACAGTTTTTGCCATCTACCAATCGACTTCTGTACAACCAGCCTGTTTTTGCCCAAGCGATCAGTGCCGCTGGACAACAGCACTGATCATTGTATTCTGACAGCGTGGAAGTCTCCCTGCCATCAGAACACAATAGCACAGCACGAGTGACTCCTCATCCACCTTGAATTCATGGATGGGGGAATTGGATCATTTGTTTCTGCTCTTATCTACTGGTTGAAGAAAAAAAAAAAAAAAAAGAGGATGAATGTATGCGCTGCCTAAATAAACTACACAGAGTGAAGTTCTAGATGGTATTCCTATTACCTTTAGGGCAAGTATGAAAACACAACATTCTCGTCAAGCGAAAGGCAATTAATGTCTTACCAGAGGTTGTCCATATGGGTAACCTGATCTGCTTAACCACAGGCAACATTTTTTGTTTTGTAATTACTCTGCTGTGACTTGTCTTTCTAGACCAGTGGTCTCCAAACTGCGGCCCTTTGGTTGCTTTTATCTGGCCCTTGGGGCACCATTTCATCCTCTGACACCACCAATGGGGCATAATTCCCCCCCTGACACCAATGAATAGCAACTAGAAAAACCCTCTTTGAATGTGATTTTTAAGTGATCTACACATGATAAAGTTGTATGAAAACTTTATTATACAAATGAATAAATAAATAAAAATCTCACAACAATGATAAATGGTTATTCTAACAGCGGTCACATTCCTCATATACAATACACAAATGGAAAGACAATGTTGCCTGACTGGATAGCAGGGCACCTAACAACAGCTAGATTAACCGCTTATCATTCATGTGTGATTTTTTTTTTTTTTTATTTCTTAGTATAATAAAGTTTTCATACAATTTTATAATGTGTAGATCAGTTGTGCCATAAAATCCCATTCAAAGAGGGTTTATCTAGTTGCTATATACAGTTGGGGATGATGGCACTATCCAACACCACACCAATATCAACAGACACTAATGAAGGGGCACAAATCCTCCCAATGACACCAACGATGGGGCACTATTCCGCCCACTGACACCATCGATGGGACACAATTCCTCACTATGCCACCCAAAATGGGGTGCAATGACACCAATGATGGGTCACAATTCCTCCAAATGACACCAACAATGAGGCACAATTCCTTCCACTGACAACAACGATGGGGCGTTATTCCTCCCACTGACACCAATAACCACAGACCAGCCCCCTAAAATCTGAAAGACAGTAAACTGGCCCTTTGTTTAGAAAGTTTGGAGATCCCTGCTCTAAACCAACTTCCAGATTGTAAAATAAAATGTTTAAAAAGGATAAGAACACAAGATCATTCTTACCCAGTCTGGCTGATACCAGTCAAATTGGGAAAAGAAAATATGCCTATTGGCAATCTTAGACCCCTGCTTCATTCCCTTGAATCTGATCTTTGGGGAAGAATCAATTGACAAAGAAGATATTCCTGACCAGCTACTGTTACCTTGAATATGGCCAACATCAAGGGTGTCTTTTCAATGCATAAATGTGTGCACTTGGTTGACACAATCATCAATGTTTATTCACAACTGTTCTAAAATCTGTTTAAAAACTGAAATGATCTTCTGACCATTAGATCAGTGGGTTCTTTCTTTATTACTGCAATCATTGTGTTATACAGAACCATGATATGATATGATATGATATTTGATATGATACAATGCATACATTTATATAGCACCAGCATATTATTAGAGATATTAACATTAGTCTCAGCCCTTGAAAAATCTTGCAATCTAATAGCTTCCCTCCATACTTAAATACCAAGTAAGACCACTTTGGGCATACAATAACGGATAAGATCAAATCTGGAAAATAAAGGAGATACTGCATAAAACTTGAGACCACAGATCAGACAGGCCAGCATCTTTAAAATGATGCCTATGCACTCGATACATACCATAAAGCATATACCAATCAGGCAGCTGGGGTTACCCCAATATTATTAAGGGTGAATTCACACTACAACACAGAGCAGCAGGAGCGATTCACTGATCCTGCCGTTCTGCGTCGTCATCTGCGCTAGGGGGCAGTATGGTACATGACTCAGTGCATCACACTGCTCCCTTTTTTTTGGTTTGTACAAGCTTTATTTAAAGCTTATAAAATGTACACTTCATTCACTGCAATGTCAGGCAGTGTTAAGCGCTGCCCGACATTGCAGTGCGATTGCATGTCTGCATTTTACAGCAGCACACTGCGCTGCAGTGTAAATGTAACACATAGGAAACAATTGTTTCCTGTCTGCCCCTGCGGTGACACACATTTTACCATGCAATAAAATACCTATCACCACATATAGTGTGAATACACTAAATAAACAAGGCAAAGGTGAAGAATTGTTGTATGTACAATATTGAAGAAGGATGAAAACCCGCTGCACATTTTGATACTTTCAGCTCTCATTGGGTCTAGTTCCCAAAAATAATGGTCATTATGGCAAATGCCATTCATTATAGCTTAGTGAAGTGATCTCTGTATCTATTAATCTCAGCTCTGAAAGACCATATAAAAGATGAGGTCAATGTGCCGTTTATAATGTAACATGACAAACCTGATTGCAAAATCTTGCTTACCGTTCTAAATTGAGCTTATCAGGACAGGCTGCCTTCTCTTCAGCAGTACGTCGCACAATAGGACATCCCGGATCTGATTTTGACAGACCTTTAATGAAGCTAAAATGGTCTATTTAAAAACAAAGAAACAGAGGGATATTAAGAAAAAAAAAAAAAATTAAAGATCTATTTGTGATCCTCCCCTTCCTAACATACCTAGCCTACCTTTTGAATGATGTGCATCCTCATTGTTGTTGTTTGGGCTGGCACAGTGGGAGACAGACCTGGATCTATTTTTTGTGGGAACATGGCCTGGGATATCTGCAAATGCACCCAGTGACAATGACTCCCTTCCATATCTGGGTACAGGGCCAAATACTTCTGTGACATTTGCTGTCAGTGGAATGTATGGCTGCTTATTACGTCCCATAGGACTTGAGACTCTTCCATCTGAAGGTATAGATAAGGTAAAATATGCAACAATCAAACAGGAGAAAATACACATGACATACTAATATAATAACAAAACACAGAAGGAAGCATATATACAAGAGGACGCATAGAAGAACAAATCGTACTGGCTCCCATGGGCAGCAAAAACCTTTTCTTACAGATAATGTTGTTTAAAAAAAACATGGTTTTATGAAATATAATTCAAAGAGCAACTGATCTCATTTGCCCAGAACAACAACAAAGGCTACAAACAGGGCCGGATTTCCCATTAGGCACTGTAGGCATGTGCCTACAGGCGCCATTTATAGAGGGGAGCCTGTCTGGAGAGAGAGAGACAGAGAGAGAGTGAATTTTGTGCCTTTCTCTCTCTCTCCACGGGTTCAGGGGAGCAAGCAACTGCAAGCAGTTTAGTTAGGCTACTGCTCCAAGTTCCAATGGCTCCCAGGTGGTCTGAATGGCCTCTTCAGTATATTCACAAGGGACCAGGACCTGTAGCATGGAAGGACTTTTTTTCTTAAATCAGCTCGCAGTCAGATTTACACAAGCTGCGGGTGCTGATAAAATGATAGTTTTGGCTCACATTCTCTGCTAGCAGAGTTATATCACTCACAGCCACTTCTTCACTGCCTGCCTCTGTCAGTGAAGTGCTGAGGGAAGGGCGGGCTCAGGCTGAGAGGGAAGCAGTGGCAGGTTGGAAAATGGAATATGGCAGACATCACATCATCAGCGTAGTGGGCAGAGGCAGCTGTCAGTGTGAAGTGAACACACAGCCATAGGAGTATACTGACTGAGAGATCCTCCATCCAGCAAAGTTTGTGTACCTTGCGCCAATGCAATGCCCTGGCTGATGCCCATGATGAATTAGGACCCTTTCACACTAGCGCCCCATAAGGCAAGGGGACCTCTGTAGACCTGGATGTAAAGGGGAACTCTGATGCAATAGGAAACACTGCAGAACCTGATGTAAAGGGGAACGCTGCTGGCTGCGATGGGGGGGGGGGGGGGGGGGGGGCTTTGGTGACTAGAGACCACTTTACATCAGAGTTCCCCTTCTTTACACCATGGTCTGCAGTGTTCCCCTTACATCAAAGTTCCCCTTTACATCAGTTAAGTCAGGGGGAACCCTGCAGATTCTGATGTATTGTAAACTCTGTGGACTCAGTGCAATGGGAATTATGGGGATTTTTGTGTACGGGGGGGATCTGATGACCAGAGACCCCTTTACATCAGAGTTCCCCTTTACATCGCAGTCTGCAGTGTTCTCCTTTACATCAGAGTCCGCAGAATTCCCCCATACACAAATAACATTTTTATATAAAAATATAATATTAAGAGGAGAAAAGTCGGTTTCAGCTCAGAATTCTCTGCCTATGAGCTCCCGAAATGTAGATCCGGCCCTGCCTACAAACTATAAAAATGCTCATCTGATTGACTGCTATGGGTTAGTGAATTTCAGTGCCATCTGTACCATGCTATTAAGCTCTTAGTTCCATAACTTTAATTAAATACATATAACAATAGTGACTCATATTAAACAGGTCCGTTAACCACACGCTCTGATTTATACAGGTCAGCTTGATCTCTTAAAACACACTTTTTTGCTCAGCGATAAATTTAATCACAAGAAAGCCACACTTAATGTAATATATGAGAATGATGTAGAAACACACATTTATCATAGCTGAATTTATTGCCAAGAATCAATATTTCATTTCTACTCTTGGGAATAGAATTAAAAAAAAAAAAAGAAGCTTACCACCAATGCAGGACCATAAGGCAGCAACACTCCTTAGATGGAAGTAGGTATCTTTCAGTTGTTACTAATCGTCAGTGTAAAATAATCTCTACAATTGATGAAACTACATAAACATGAAAAAAATATATTTGCAATCTTTCCCTTCCTAATATACCTAGCCTACCTTTTCAGTGGTGATATCCTCATTATTTTTGTGTGGGCTGAACAGTGGGAGACTGACCTGGACCTGTTTTTTTTTTGTGGGAACATGGCCTGTAATATCAGCAAATATTCTGGGCAAATAGACCATTTAAAGTGCATCTCTAAGCAAAAGTGATTTTTTTAGGTTTGGTTAGAGTGGGAAAGGGTTAGACCCTCTGTCAGGTTTGTATTGCTGTCTTTGTGTTCATTGGGGTGATTCACTCCTCTGTATCAAGGACCATTACCACTGAGAAAGAGAGGAGAAATCCAAAATGTTAGAGTTGTCCCCAGGGGCGGACTGACAACTCATGGGGCCCCCGGGCAATAGGGGATCATGGGGCCCCTGTGTCCTTGCCCAAACTCAAAAAAGCCTATGAAAAAGATACCAGGGGCATCTCATTAGGCCCCCTACTGACCCGGGCCCTCGGGCAGTGCCCGAGTTTCCAAATGGTCAGTCAGCCCCTGGTTGTCCCCAGAACAAGAGGTAAGGGGAAATCTTCCAAAAGGGATTCCTTTTCCAGGTCTAAGAGGAGAATGTCCTTTACTTTGGGAGACACATCTACAAATGTTAATGGAGCCTTAGCAGTGTCCTGAAAAACCTACCTTTTGTTTTAAATTCTTCATGAAAAATAAATAAAAGTATAGGATAAGCAGCATCAGTGTTGGGATGCGGCTGTGCCCTGCTGGTTTTAAGACTGATCACTCAGTTCTCAGTCTGCTCTGAGTGCTCTAAGTGGAGAGCAGTGATTGTCGTTCACTGCTCTCTGCTCTGCTCCTCCACCAATCACTTGAGCACTGGCTTGGGAAGGAGGCAGGAACACCTGGCTCCAGCTCTCCACCATATGCCAAGAGGCAAAGCCAGCTGTCAGTCAAGCAGCCAGGTGGATCCCGACCATATTGATGGAATCCTTCCAGAGCGTGGCTTGGCCTTGTCCTTTCAGTCGACAGACCACTATCAGCTGACTTTGGGTCACAAGAGAACAAAAGTAAGTGTACTCCTGTGACCCAAAAGAGCACTATAGTTAAAAATACTTTGGCCATAATTTGCTTTTAAAGGCTCAGTTCACTTTTAAAAATAAATAAATGCACATTTTTTGCAGGTAAAAAAAAATATGCATTTACTACTTTTTTTTTTTTTTGCAGGAGCCTATAAAGCATTGCATCTGTGATTGGAAAATCATGAGTGCAATGCAGGATCCTGAATACTGTCCGTGTAAGCTGTCTGTCCATACCTCATAGGGGCAGGCAGTTACAGAATAACAGAAGGAATCAATGGATTACTAGAGCACTCACCAACGCCCTTGAAGTCCATTGACAACTACAAGCCGTCAGCCACAAATGCTGTCAGTACTTGTAGGCATTCAATCACAGAATTGAATGAATGACGTGGTCGTGTAGGCAGAGCCCTGCACGGACCACGCTTTTTTTTGAAATTGTGACAGGGGGTGCGGGGAGAAGATGCCCAGCCTACTGTCACAGGGGGGCAGGGGCACAGGGGTCGCAATTGCAACCCGGTCCCAGGCTGCAGGTGGCCAGTGCCCTCCTGATGCCGCTGAATGCCTGTGGGAGGGAGAGGAGGAGAAGAGGCATTCAGTGGCTACAGGAGGAACATGAAGAAATGGATTCATCTGTATTCAGCCACCTCCACCACTCCTCCTATCCAGCTTCTTTCAGGTTCACTCCCTTGCTCCTCCCCCCCCCATCCCCAGTGACTGCAGCCTATAGGGAGTTGAAAGAGTTAGCGCTGACAGTTCTCCCCTCCACTTCCTGCACTGATCAGAGAGAGCTGCTTCTGCTCCTCCTCCTCCTCCCGCCCTTCCTCCGCTCCTGTGTCTGCCCTGCCCACACTGCATGAGCAGGAAGTTTGAACCCCAGGCAGAAGAGGAAAGGTGCAGCCTGCAGATTGATCCTTGCACTGCCAGTGAAGTCTCCCCCTCATTTATTCTCTCCTGCCTCCTAGTAAGTACTGTAATGTAAGATGGACGCTTTCTTTCTTTTCTTCTCTCTTTTTTCTTTCCTTTCCTTCCTTCCTTTTTAGATCCCTGATAGCTCACCTAAGCCCCCCAACAGGGCCCCTAAAAAAATTGTAAAAAATAATATTTAAAAAAAAAAAAAAACTACCAACACCACTGGCAGAACTACCAGGGTCATAAAAGACCGGGCCCTGGCGTTCTGTCGCTGGGCTCAGAGGGCAGGGCTCCGGCCATGGGTCAGGGAGGCCCTTCATGGTTTCTTGCACCGGGACCCTGAAGGTTCTAGTTATGCCACTGCAGTGTGAGATCATCTGAGGCACTGCAGACTGAGGCTGCCTGTAACTACTGATCTCACAAGATTTGATGTGGTCACTGCTGTGCTGCTCGCTGTTCTCCTTCCTGGAAGAGAAGCTGTACTGTACAGTACATGAATCTTGCTGCTTCCACATCATCCATTTTGTTCATCTGTGCTTTCTGCACCTATCCTGCTGCTTCATTATCATTACCTCACCAGTCATCAGGGAGGATGCCTGCCTCAACAAAGAGAAACAATGTAAAACAAGGCATATAAAGGCAGTGACTGGGAAATGATCAGCTGCACGGAGCGCCATGTTTGACTCTGCTCTTTGTTTGTATTATCAGGCACAGCTTCCATATTTCAGGTCCTTTAAAAGTGTAAGTGAAAGCAAATGGATATTTTCTCTGCCCATGCCCCTATCCCCCCATCATTAGTGCTCGATATGACTCAAGGTCTCACTGCTGGGCAAGCCTGAGGGGCAACATCTGGAATTTGATCTTTCGCTCTGCTTACCTTTTATGCAAGAATGCTTGGATTTTGTGTTCTCCCACCAATTCCCTTGATAGATGGGTGGGCTTCTTCATTTCCCATGCCCTTGCTGCCTCCAAGTTGCTAATATGCTTTTAAATGTGGGGTTGTTTCTATTGGATCCAGTCTCCATCTTGATAGACTAGTCCATTATTACTATACAATGACTAGTTGCACAATCGGTGGACCAGAAGGGATATTGTGCTCATTAACGTTGAGTTGTTTTCTCTGTGGGCAAGCTTTGAATGTTACAACTGTTCTT